GGATCTGCTGTATGTAAAATGCACTAAAGTAAGCAGCCTGACGAAGAAAACAAAACAATTTGATAGACAGCACATTTGCGGCTTCTTCACCGCCTCAAATTTCAGCAGTGAGCGACAGAAACCTTTTATGCTCATGAAAAGGCCGAACTTGAATTACAGTCACCATTGATTGCCACTTTATATGTAGTTTTTCCAAGGTTGATAGAAACTTTAACCTCATTTTCAATAAAGAAGAAAAACATGAAACGTTCCAGACCTTGAATTTTTACAATGCTGTGTTGAATTATGCAGCGATCAGTCAATTATTCATCTCCAAGCCTCTCTGTTACAGCCACGCTTTCAAAAGCATGCAAAATGGACCTGTGCACGGCCGTGCTGTGTCAACACATTTCCATCAGAATTGCTTACGACAGGAAATTGTCATTCAGTGTCAATTCTGCCTAAGCTTTTATAAATTTGAAATAACACTAATGCCAATTAGCTGCATTGCTTCAAAAAACAGTTTCCTGAGCCAAACACTTATGTGATCTCATGGGTCAATTCTGCTACGCACTACCTTTTGAGCTCTGCAACTTGTACTTACAGTAACGTTTTTTTTGCTGGGAATAAATATTCCTCTTAAAAGGTGTATAACATTTTTTGGGAATATGCAAGCTTATGCACTTAAATATTTGCAAAAATGGCAAATTGATAAAAACATGGAAAGTTTAACCAGGATGAATAAGATCAGGAGCTCATAACAATGTCATCTTTATTTTATTGGGGTATTTTAAAATTAAAAAATACCGCAAAATTATTTATTGAACTGAACAGGTTAATAAAACATTGAATGTTTTAATTATTGTTAGTTTTTTGTTTGCTTTTCTGGCAATCTGTATTACACTAATATGGAAATTACCTCATAATTTCTTCTTACTCGTGGGGTTTAAAAGTTTTTCTTCTGTTGAACACACACACAAAAAAAAAAAGATAATTTGAAGAATGCAGGTTGCTGGCACCCATCATCTTGCAGAGTATAGGGCAAAATTTACTATGTAGGCCAATGGGGTGCCAGCTACCAAAATTTTCTAAACATCTTCTTTATTATGTAGCAGAGGAAATTATTTAACCAATAAGATCAGGAGCTCATAACAACGTCGTCTTTATTTTATTGTGGTATTTTATAATACCATTTTTATAATACCATATTTTAAGATACCACAAAACTATTTATTTAACATCTATTTCAATTGGCAGTTGTTTATCAGTGGCAGTTGTCAACTGAATGTGCCAACAATATTTTTTTCTTTTTTTTTTTTTTTGGATTGAATTGAACAGAATCATTAAACAGATTTAAAAAAAGTACATTTTAATTATTGTTTGTGTTTATTGTTTGCTTATCTTGCAATCTGTATAACACAAATAACCTCATTATTACCTTAAATTACCTCATCATTTACTCTTACTCGTGGGGTTTAAATGTTTTTCTTCTGTTGAACACAAAAGAACATATTTTGAAGATTGCAGTTTGCTGGCACTCATCATCTTGCATCGTATAGAGGAAAAATTACTATAAGCTAATGGGGTGCCAGCTATCAGAAATGTTCAAAACATTTTTAACCCTTTAACTGCCCCACCAAGAAAAAAAAAAAGCTGTATTGCATTTCTTAACTCCCAATGTCGCTATTCAACACACCTAATGCATCTTTTTCAACACATCCCCTAATTTCTAAAATATCAACCTCTCCCAAATGGTTAATATGTAGGTTTATGGTAAAAGTACAGTAATTAATACATATACTATGAAAATCAAAAAATATGCAGTTTTAGACCAATATATATATATATATATATATATATATATATATATATATATATATATATATATATATACACACACACACACACACACACACACACACACACATATATATATATATATATATATATATATATATATATATATATATATATATACACACACACACATATATATACACACACACACACACATATATATATATATTCAAAATAAAAAAAAATATTTACTAAATCATCTTTATTTTTTTTTAAGTATGCCATAAAATATTAATAACATATTTTCTTTTTTTTTTAACAATAAAACCAAAATCAAGTGTAGTAGTGCAACAGAATTATATTTGTTTGATTTTTTTTTTTTTTTTTGTAAACTAAAAATGCTGTGTATGTAAACCGTTACTTAAAATAGTCAAAACATAGTCAACCATTTGGTAGAGCAGGCAGTTAAATGGGGTTATTCAACAGAGGAAAATGTTTAACCAGGATGAATAAGATCAGGAGCTCATAAAAATTTCATTTTTATTTTATTGTGGTATTAAAAATAATTATAAAAAAACACAAACTAATTATTTAACAAATCTATTGCTAAAACTTTCAGACGTTTATGCTGTTTTCACATGTTACTTCCTGATGCCATTAAGGAATATTTCAAGCTAGAAACTGAAAGAAGTTAAATTTGTAAAAGGATCACCAATTAAAATGGGAAAACATGTCTGGTTGTAAATATTTAGAAAAAAATGATTAATTATTTATTTTTAATTGAGGCTTTTCAACTTAGAACATTTTGATTAAATGTAAAAACCACATTTATAAACCACATTTATAAACTGTTCATAAACAGTTTATAAATGTACTTTTAATTAGGAATAACAATGGATATAATAATTAATAATAATTATTTTTTATAATTTACACTCCTGTTTTGTTTATTAATGCTAAAATAAATTGCAAAGCAATGTTGGCTTACACATTTACTATTAACTTTGGTTTGGTTTATTAACTAATCTTTGGTTTCATTTATTCTGAGTATATGTATACATATGTACTTGTATACTGTATGATAATAGGATGCAACAGATTTTGAAAAATGATGCCGCCTGTTTTGTCAGTGATGCTTATTGCCTATTATATTGTTACACCAATAGATAGCAACAATCATTTGAGTTTGGTGACAACTTAGTGATGCTTTGAATCATTTATTCAATCCTTTTTTTACTTCTTCTAAAAATACATAATCATTGTGAAATTAATTTTCTGAACTGATATATATTTAGAAACACTGATATAGTTAGGGCGGTGCAGTGGTGCAGTAGGTAGTGCTGTTGCCTCACAGCAAGAAGGTTGCTGGTTCAAGCCTCGGCTGGGTCAGTTGGCGTTTCTCTGTGGAGTTTGCATGTTCTCCCTGTGTTCGCGTGGGTTTCCTCTGGGTTCCTCCCACAGTCCAAAACTTGCGGTACAGGTAAATTGGGTAGGCTAAATTGTCCGTTGTGAATGAGTGTGTTTGGATGTTTCCCAGAGATGGGTTGCAGCTGGAAGGGCATCCGCTGCGTAAAACATATGCTGGATAAGTTGGCGGTTCATTCCGCTGTGGCAACCTCTGATTAATAAAGGGACCAAAAAGGAATCCCCTAAATCAGGACCTGTGTAATAAATGTGTTGCATCAATCTTGCGCTTTGTTTGAAAAGAGGTATAGGCTTACATTAATACCATCAGTTTGATTCTGGATTTAACTTCAAAATAAACCTTGGTTAACCATACCCTTGTTGCTCAATCACTTTGAAATCAGATGTACATTTCTGTTAAGGATTAACTTTAAACTTGCTATTGAGGGCCAAAATGGCAGCACTCATTAGGAGGATTGAAGAAAATCACTTGCAGAAATATAAATGAGCATCTCAACCTTTTTGAGTTTCATGATGGAGCAGATAGTTCAAAGTAATTCAGAAAGAAACCTGTTATGATTGATTGAAATGTAATTTCAAATGAGTTAAAATATTAATTATATTCATTTTAATATAAATGATTATATATATATATATATATATATATATATATATATATATATATATATATATATATATATATATATATATATATATATATATATATATATTTTTTTTACAATGCTCTTTAAAGTGAAATAAATGAACATAAACATAGGAGGCTGAGAAAAATACTGATTTTAGGAGAACATTTCAGATGGCATTTCAAGGTTTTTGCATCTGAAGTCTTCATTTACTAATGTACATTTATTTTACTACACTATATACTATACACAAATCATCACAATTAATCATAGGTGAATTTTTTAATCAAAGCTAAATGTTTTAATCAAAGATTTGTTAGCAAGTGGTGTAACACAACTCGATTTAAATTAGAACCAAGATAAAAAAAAAAATCCTTGATTAGCTCTAAACTCTGCTTAACAAAATGTTTATTGGTGCAATACCTCATCAAAGAGGTAAACTATCAACTGAAAGGTCATGGCACCTGTATTTGAAAATAAAATAAACAACATTATATCATTAATGATGTATCTGTAAATTGATTATAGATTTAATATTATTTGATTAATAGATTTTTCAGAAGCAGCGGGGCACATCTATCCAAAATAAAAAATAAAAAAAATACTGTATATAATATTCCACCTTTACAAACTGAGATTTTATTACTTCAGTCTTGTTGATGATAATTATTATGAAAACATACCCCATACTGTAACACAAATGACCTGATTTGCTTGGCTCAATCTTAACAGTTCATCAATAACTAATTAAATTACATGAAGAGATGTAAGCTTCTTCTGGTTTCCTTCTTTCTTTGAATATGTGGCTTTTCCCAGGAATATTGTGCTCGTTCAGCCGGAATGAATGAAAGGTATTATTTCTCAGTCATGTGTTGTGTAGAGCCGTGTGCTCACTGTACTAAGCATGAGTGGTTTTATTCTGCTAGTTATTGTCATTGCTCAGTAACACATGTTTTACAACTCAACCATGAACAATTTTGATTGCCCTTCAGATTAAAATATAAGCATGCCGCTTACGTAATATCATATGTGACGTTTTGTTTCGCGGCTGAAAATCTTCATTAGAATACACTGAATCGTGGATTATGAGTTAAACTGCTTTACATGATGACATTTGATTTAAAAAAAAAGTGTACACTTCTCTCAAGCTGACAAAGTGATTCATTCGCAAAAGAGTTTAGTCTAATAATCAGACTCACAAATATTTTATTACCATATTTGACACCATAGAATAGAAAACAGACACACACTCATGCAAATCCACACAGATACACTGTAGTGCATGTGTGCAGACACGCACCATTTCGCTCTTTCATTCTCATACACACACACACACACACTCTCTCTCTCTCTCTCTCTTATACCGTGTCATTACAGAAGACAAGATCAGAAAAGAGGGAAAAGCACTTTAAAACAAGACATCCTTTCAATATTTATACGTTTCTTTTACTGCCATAGAAAGAAATAAGGAACAATGTGTCCATAAATCTTGCTACAGTGTTTACATCACATAAAAAGAAACTAAAAGGCAAGTCCTCTTTGATGAGGTAAAAAGATACTTTAACATGTAGTTTAACACAATAAACATTTGAATTGTTACAGACCGAGGACAAATGCGTGACAAAATAATGTCTATGATTATAGTTTAAATAGCTGCCCCGTAACATTAGATACGTCCATCTAATAAAGGATCCTTTCAACACATATTCTTTCTTGATTATCCAATAAGTGCCTCATCACCATCATCATCATCATCTACTTGGTATAATAAAAGCCTGTAATCTATGATTTAATATATTCGACATTACCGCTAATTAGCAGAGTGTAATTTTAAACCCATCCGGCTCAATTGTTTCACTCTTTATTCAAATCTGACAGTTTGGGATTGCTGTGATTACTTGATTTTTGCCTTGAAAAAGGCAAATTATGTGAAGGACTCGTGTGAATATCGGCTGGCAACGATTAATTAAATCTGTCAAATATTTTAGGAATCTTCTTCTTTCAAAAAATAAGCAATAAAACAAAAATGTGTTGCCAGCAAGTGTACATTAGCATAACCTTATTATTATATATAATTTATCTGCAAAAAAAAAAAAAAAAAAAGGTTCAGCATGCACTTTATTTAATCAAATATAGTCTACATGGGGGGGCAATGATGAAAAATTATTATCAATTATCTTCCATTGTATCTCAGAATGAATATTCTTGCTGCATATTTGCTTATTGAAGATGCTGACTTGAACACAATATTTATGTAGTATAATGAATTAAATGCTTATTTAAATGGGCCTATTGATGAAAGTAATACCCCAAATTCAGTGTATTAATGTTTTGTAACATTTGGTGACCTGTACAACTGAATTTAAAATCAGTCCTTACAAGATTCAGCTTCAAAATGTAGCTGTTTAAATGATATTGTTCATCAACTTTATTATGCTGAACTTCATAATAAAGTTCAGCATGCACTTTATTTAATCAACTATGGTCTACATGGGGGGCAATAATGAATTATTATTATAAGTTATCTTCTGTTGGATCTCAGAATGAATATAATGTTTCTGTGACTTGCTGCATGTTTGCTTATTGAAGATGCTGACTTGAACAATAGATATTTATGTAGTACGATACATTGAATGCTTATTTAAAGGGGCCTATTGATGAAAGTAATACCCCAAATTCAGTGTAATAACGATGTGTAGCATTTGGTGACCTATACAACTGAATTTAAAATCAGTCCTTACAAGATTCAGCTTCAAAATATAGCTGTTTAAATGATAGTGTTCATCAACTTTATTATGCTGAACTTCACAATAAAGTTCAGCATGCAATTCATTTCATCACCTATGGTCTACATCGGGGCCAATAATGAATAATTATAATAAGTATAAGTTATCTTCTGTTGGATTTCAGAATGAATATAATGTTTCTGTGACTTGCTGCATGTTGTTTTGCTGAAGATACTGACTTGAACAATAGATATTTATTTAATATGACACATAAAATACTCATTTAAATGGGCCCATTGATGAAAGTAATACCCCAAATTCAGTGTAATAATGATGTGTAGCATTTGGCGACCTATACAACTGAATTTAAAATCAGTCCTTACAAGCTTTAAAATGTAGCTGTTAAAAGATAGTGTTCATCAACTTTAACTGGGTGTGAGTGAATAAACCCTAAGTACATTTGTTCAGCACAGTTAAGTATTTATTGAATAACATGAATTCAGGACAACACATTTACATGCCTGCATGCTTCCTCACCATAGTGGCAGCGAATTGAAAGAATGATGGCTCAGAAACAAAACAAATCTAGAAATTCAATATAAACGTCGGTATTGTTCTCCTAATAGATCTACTGCATACACAATACCAACTTTTGACATTATATACAAATACCAAAGTGAGTGAGTTAACCTATCTTCTGCTCTTGTATATACAATAATGATAGAAATGAAACTTGATTGTTTTTTTTCTTCTAGTTTAGAAAACATTAAAAGCAGATATTAGTCTTTTCTGTTGATCAACATATATTCAAATTCACATTTTCAGAGGTTCTCCTCCAAGTTTGGATCTTTAACATCTTGGCAAATAGTTCTAACATTGATTTGTGTGTGTGTGTTTTTCTTCTTTTAATACAAAACAAAACCTCTGAATCCGATTGAATTTCCGAAGCTTTCTCGCTGGTTTAAATACAGTATAAAAAATCTTCAGTGCTGTGAATTTGTTGTAAATATTATCACCGAGTGTACCAAAAGGTACGTTTTACTGTGCTCAAATTGTCACCTTGGTCAACTCGTCACATCCAATCCCACATCTGGTATATTATAATGTTGATATCAGTGATAATACGAGTCCTAATACTACATTCGGACACAATCCATCCTCCACATCGGGCCCAGCATAAACCCTTGGTGCACCTCTATGAGCGATTGACCTGTTTCTGTAACTAAATTACCCTGCGAAGGGACTCTGGAGAATCGTCCTACAACACAAGTGGCCAGTCTTCAACGTCATGCTGTTAGTACATCACTGTGGTTTTCAGAAAAAGTCTTCCATCTGCTAAAAACAAAACAAAGAGAGACAAGATAATAAGTACACTGAACAGAATCGAGCCATTAAGCAAAGATAAGTAACAGTGATGCAATGAAAACACAAACAACATCACCGTAAACCCCAGATTATGTCACATTTTAAAAACATAATATAGCACTTATGATTCAAAGCACTTCACAAATGACAGTCTGTGCGTAAATAACATTTAGAAGAGAAAAAAGCTGTAACACTGCCTTCTTCAACGTGTACAATCTAATGAGCTCAGTCCATTTCCAGGGAAACCTTCACTGGCGAGTGCATGCCTGAATGGACAGCAGCTCTCTTTGCTTGTTCTGGTAAAAGCATCTGTTAGGCATGGCTCAGGAGCTTGTTTGACGTTTATTACCAGAACAGTTCCTCTGTGTCCGGGAATGCTGCATCACTGCATTTAAGCAGCGTTTGCTCTCTTGTGTAGTACAACTAAATAAATCAGCAAAAGTGGTGATCAAAGATGCATATTTTTTTGTAAATTATAGTTGCATAACTATGAATAAAATATATAATGAACAAAAAGGCTAAACATCAAATTGGGGATACTATATGTTAATATGTTAATGTTAATTTCATGGTAATTCCATTAAATAGGTTTCAGCTTACTGTAGATAAAAAAAGAGACTCATGTTCTAGAAAATATAGTAGACACTGATGTATTGCATTTTATTTAACCCAGAAGTATTGATTAATGTGAAACCAAATCTGATAGACATTGATTAATTGCAGGGTGTGCATAAAACGGCATTATGCCATCAAGTTTGTTTATGTTCTTTATTGGACTTACAGATATAATATTGTGATCTAATGATGGTGATTAAATATCAAGAAATTTACGACTCTAACTCTCATTTTAGGTCTAATGGTTGATGCTCTTTAATGCTTTTTAGGTTGATGCAAACAGCCTATAAACAATGGCAAAAATGTGTATTGAAGTATTGTACCCTGTTTTTTTTTTCTAAAATTTATTCTACAAAGGCTACTAATTTCCAGCTGCTACATTCAAGAGCAAAAGGTTTGTATTGTTATGGTGTATTGGATTATCACAATGTTTTTTGAGTGTATGTGCTATTTGTAATCTGTCCCTCCAGGATTTCGCGATTTTGCATTCACTGAATTTATTGCAAAATCAACCAACCTCCACTAAATTTTGCGGATCTCGCATTTTTTCTTGCTTAAGGAGGCTTGTAGGTTTTTTTAAATGTTAAACTGCTTTTATTCTAGCCGAAATAAAACAAATAAGTTTAGTTACAATTTTCTCCAAAGAAAGTATTGTGAAAAATTCCTTGCTCTGTTAAACATAATTTAATATTTAAAACAGAAAAAAAAAAAAAAAAAAATCAGAGGAGGGCAAATAATTTTGAAACAACAACAACACTTTTTTTTTTAAATGGAGTGGCTTTCATGAAAGACTAAGTGCAATTATTCAGTGGATTTTGACCTTAGAGCTGTAGTGCGCGCACAATTTATACAGATATATGGATACAAGATTTTTTTTTTAAACATACAGTATCTTTTAAATGTAGGTGTGTTTTTATTAAAGTTACAGAACCAAATGTCTGAGTCTAGGAGTGATTAAAAATATTTTCAGTAAAGTATTTTGTGTGTGGTATATTTTTTATAACACATCAACAACACAAAAAACTACCACAAATACTGCCGCAAATTTAAAGAAAAGCCTCAGCAAAATCATTTTAGGACGCAAAATTCAGAAAAAAAGTCTTGCGAAATTCTGGAGGGGCTGTCTAATAATCCATAAACCTTATAATTTCTTGGTATTAGCTTGATTGACATCAAACATAAACAACAGTGAAGCAAATCAACAATCAATCCCAATAATGTTAATCATAATAAAATGACACAGAAAATGTACAATTTAAATATTAAAATGCCACAGTTGATTCTCAACACCCTCTGAACAATGACGACAACAAAAACAAGCAGAGAGCTAATCTTAAATGTACAAATTAGCATATTAATTCTGGGTCAAATGAAGTGTAGCTAAACTAGCTTGAGTAAACGGTGCCAGGAAAGTATCTTGAGTGGGAAGAATCGAACGGCTGCCATGTTGTTTTATGAAAGAACCCCCTCATTAAAATATGTTAAAACTTTGGCATTTTTATATTCAAATCAAGATGAAAAGTTCATTAAAGAGGATAAATATTTCATAAGATGCAAAATAAAACAAAGGCATTTTTGGCTTCTCTCAGCATAAAATTCCTTTGAAAGATTAATTAATACATGTAAATTATGCAAATTATGCCCATGCAAATATTTTATGAAGACAATTAAGGGAGCCATTAATTACTGCCTTTTTTGCTTCAGTGACATTCATTCATTTAATTTTAATTTCACTTTAACTGTTTTGATGTTTAATCTTGCAACAAAGAACTTTATCTCCCCGCACAGGGTCGTGTAAACTTGCAGAAAACATCGCGAGGCGAGCGCTGAGCATCAGGAACAGATACCGGGGAGATATTATTTTCGGTATCACAAGGAATTAGTGGCGAGATGTGCTCCCAGAAGCACGGAGCCAGGAAAAACAGTCAAGCTTATTCTTGGAATGGATTCAAAACACTGGAAAAGCAATTAATAAACACAGACTGTGTTAATATAGCAGAATTACAGAGTGTGACAAAAGACAAATAGAAATAATTAGTTCTCTGAAATTATGCTCTCATTATTTTTTTTTCCCTCAACAGCCAAGTGCTGAAATTATAGCTTGTCTCTTTGCTTTTTTGTATACAGATTGGAATAGAATTTTTCCCTCACATGCAAGTGTAATTTATCAGCATCCTTTTTTATGTTTTTGCCATTTGAGAGTAATTATGCCACACTGGTTGTAGGCCACAAGAACCATGACATAAACACACACACACACACACACACACGCGTGCGCACGCACGCACGCACGCGCGCACACACACACACACACACACACACACACACACACACACACACACACACACACACACACACACACTGTTATAATTGAACAGACACACATGATGTTTTTAAACGCACACACACACTTCCTTTGGCCAGACTAAGTCAATTCTTCAAGGGCACTGACCGAAAAACCTGTGAAATGATTGCATCTTGTGAAGCAATAACTACAGTTTTGACAGTCAAAACTTACCTGTTTTTTTCTAAATCAAATGACCTCAATGCTTCAAATTTTATTATGGCTCAAAGATAAAAAGCGTTTTTTCAAGCATCAAAACAATAAAAGTGCACAGCAGCTTTATTTCATCTATAATTTTAATGATTAAATTATCCACTAAAAAGTCATTCAGCTTTTTTATATACACAAAAATATGTCAGGGATATTTAGAACAAGAATCATTTGATGAAATATTAAAAGATCATGGTTAATTCAATGTTATTTTAAATCTTTTCCACTATCCTTTTTGTTTTATTTTGACCCTGATATATTTCACAATCTATCTGTTGTCCTGAATGATGAGAGAACATTATTTCATGGATATTTTGACATATTACTTTCACAAATATTATTTTAAACATCAAAGTAGACACTTTAATAGCATTTAATGAGCTTCCTATTTATATAACATCACTTTTTGGACATTTAATTTCATGCAGACACCAAAACGGGACCAACATTTTGTCTTTGACCCCTATATGTCTGCTCCAATATAAAACTTCTCACAGTGACAAGCTTCTTTTTAATCTACACTTATTCTAAGTTTCTATATCTAGCAATTAATGCTGGAAAATTATTAATCTTTAGGCATAACAGCCATCATAATGCTAATGACATTATATGGTCTAAAAAAAATCATTTTCTGCTCATCAAGTCAATGTCACTTGATTTAGTCTGGGAAAAATCACACTCCTTTCACTTGATCTTCATTTATTTTTACTAAAAACTTCCTTCACACACACACAAAAAATTAACTAGGCTAATCAAACTGGGTTACGGGGCTTTTACTTGCGACGGGGTATTAAAATACCATTTCCCACATTTCATAGCAATTTCCACACACTATTTTCAAAGGGAAATTGAGACCACTCAAGAAGACGTTTTTTTTTTTTTTTTGGTATGGCATGTGCTGCTGGGTACAATTAAAATAGACATCAGTGGTGAGCGACTTAACACTTAAGGTGTAGTTAAAATAGTGTGACTGAAACTTTCTGCAAATGGGCAAGTGGATTTCTGTGAAAGCAAACCAGATTGAAGCAGGTGCGTAAACACCCATAAACCCATGAAGTGTGTGTGCATTTCTCTGAGTGGGTGTGTTGTGCTCCTGTGAGGTAACTCCACTGTGGGTCATCTTCAGATAATGAAACTTCTTCTTATGCTCATTAAATTGCATTGGTCTCTGAGGTGCACAACATAGACAGGGTCTGCCTGTCAAGGGGGTCTATGTTTAAAATGTTTCTTTTCTTATATCCAATCTATTAAGCCGGACACCATTTTGACCATGAATATTCATTAAAAGACTCAAACACCCATGTTGTCTTATCCCGCAGTAAAATCTGTGATTCATTAATTTTTCTTCGACTCAGTCCCTTTATTCATGAGGGGTCGCCACAGCAGAATGAACCGCCAACTTATCCAGCAGTTGTTTTACACAGCACAGATACCATTCTGCAACCCAGTACTGGGAAACATCCATGCACACTTATTCACACACATACACTACGGACAATTTAGTTTATTTAATTCTCCTACACAACATGTCTTTGTACTGTGGGGGAAACCGGAACACCCGGAGGAAACCCACGCCTACACAGTGAAAAAATTAAACTCCACACAGAAATGCCAAACTGGTCCAGCCAGGACTCAAACCAGTAACTCTCTTGCTGTGAGGCAACAGTGCTAATCAATGAGTCACCATATCATCATCTGTGATTCACATACAGCTGAAGTCAGAATTATTAGCCCCCCTGTTTATTTTTTTCCCCAATTTCTGTTTAATGGAGAGAAGATTTTTTTCAACACATTTCTAATCATAATCGTTTTAATAACTCGTAATCGTTTTAATTGTAATAACTGATTTATTTTATCTTTGCCATGATGACAGTCACTAATATTTGACTAGATCTTTTTCAAGACACTTCTATACAGCTTAAAAAGACATTTAAAGGCTCAACTAGGTTAATTAGGAGGCAGGTTAGGGTAATTAGGCAAGTTATTGTATAACAATGGTTTGTTCTGTAGACTATCTAAAAAAATTAGCTTAAAGGGGCTAATAATTATGTCCCTAATATGTTTTTTTTATTAAAAGCTGCTTTTATTCTAGCCGAAATAAAACAAATAAGACTTTCTCCAGAAGAAAAAGTATTATCAGTCATACTGTGACAATTCCCTTGCTCTGTTAAACATAATTCAGGAAATATAAATAATAATAATAATAATAATAATATTAATAAATTCAAAGAGGGGCTAATAATTCTGATTTCAACTGTATATCTAGAAACCATTGTAAATGAAATCCCAACGAACTACCTAATCTGCGTTTGACCAAGATAGAGAAGTTGTCTTAGAGTTATGACACTACTTGCTTAACAGTCTTTTCAATTACACACATCAACATTAAAAGCATTAAAATGATCACAGAAGAGCTGGGATAACAGTTTGTAGTTCATGTATAAACAATGACATATATGGTAGCAATCAAATTAAAGCTCTTTAAAAGCACAGGTAAGAGAGCTAAGTTAAGTTGTTAGAATTATATTTTTAACCATTAGTTCAAAAGATTCATTCAAAAGGATGATTCATCTAGTATTGAAACAAGTAAATTCAGTTAAATTTGTTTATACAGTATTAGTGAACACTTTACATGACACTTTAAATTGTAATTAATTTCAAAAATTGTAGTACATACAGTATGGTTTTTCGCTAGATAAAGAGTTAAAAGTAACCAACAATGAAAATGAAATTAATACTTGTTAACATTAGTTATTACACAGCTGCCTGGAATACTTAATTCTGATTGGTCAGTCTCGACATTACAAGGTATGTTGTTCTTAGATAACAACTACTAAATAACACAGGCTCATTTGAGAACTTCGACTCACCATGACAGTCAGTAAACATGTTCACATCCAAATACTTGCATCCACATTCATATACATTAATCAGCATAATTGAGTACATCCCATTTTGAAAATGAATATTTTTATCCATTTCTCAATGAATATTGGTAATATATATTGGTGCGTTTGATCAAAACAGATTTATTAAACAGATATATTTATTAAAATAAAATTTTAGTCACAGAACATCTTTAGAAATGGAAAGAAAAATACAAATAAATTCATGCAAAGTATTGCAAATAAAACAAAAAACTACAACATGTCAACAAAAATGTACATATTATTTGTTTTTCTTGATTTTTGCTGTTTTTGAAAACGTTATTTAATATCTTTCCCTAAGGTATAAATTTGGTCTGCTAATTTTTGAACCATTATTGTAAGTTATTTTGTTAGGTTAGCTCCAGATTTGGCTTCAGTACTGACTAAACATACTATAGAAAATATAAATTTAAGTGAGAGATTTGTGAGGGGTGTACTCATATATGCTGAGCACTGTATATCTTCTCTCTGTTAAACAAAAATTGGGGAAAAAAAATAAACAGGGGGTCTAATAATTCAGGGGGGTCAATAATTCTGACTTTAACTGTATAAGACCTATTGCACTTTTACAAAAAAAGCCTCTATTTTAATGTCTGGTACAAAAGAACAATGAGACGAGAGGTATTGAACATCCATTTTTCTAAGTCGTACAGGTTTGGAACGACATTGTGTTGAACAAATGATGAAAGTATATCCATTTTTTGAGTGAACTGTCCCTTTAATAACATCCCTTTAATATATCCCTGCTGGTAAAAAGTACAAAACAAAAGTTGAATTTTAATTGACTCAGTGGGCTTGTTTAAAGTTTAATCTTCTCCATGTTCCTCATTTAATATCCTATCAAACTGCCTCACACACTCAGCTCTCCGAATCAGCAGACCGTGATATTGTCATACTGTACGTTTGCGTGATTTTTCCTGTCTAAAGATGTTTTTTTGACAGATCCCACTGATCTTGACCTTCCTCTTGAACTGTAGGGTCTGTGGCCCAGATGGCCGGCTGCATGCATGAACAGCAGGCCGAGTTAAAGCGAACCTCATATACTGAAGCTGAGCTCAGATTTATAGTCTCCTCAAAAACACGTACCTTGTATTGTCCTCTCAGCATCTGTTCTGCCACTGCTGCGGTCAGTCTCTATCTCCTGGGTCAACGAGTCTGGCGAAATGAAAAGATAATGACGATTAAACATCCATGACATCTGCGCTTAATTAGGGAAGTTTTTTCAAGCCTCGTCTTTGGTGATGGGTGGAGGGTGGATGTGCTTGGGTCGCTCAGGTCAGGGCCAAATTTGGCCAATGACTGGGTGGTGTTACGAATACTGAACAGAGAACTTTGCCACATATTATGCTTATCTTATGGTTCTTGCAAAGCTTGGTGGAGATCCAGCCAATATAGAATATGCTCTATCAAAAAAATTCTAAATTATTTTAGTACTTTTATACTATTAATGTTGCATCTCTTTTTGAAGTGCATGCATTAAGGTGTACATACATTGTAGTAACCTTAGGAATGGCAGCATGATGGAGTATAAGATAAATAAATGGGTTTTGTTTTGGGGGATATATATATATTTAGTATATTTGTCTGATTGTGAATAAATCAATAATTATGGAAGTGTGTTTAATTAAATTTATTATTGTTGTTTATTTTTCTGTCTAATTTAGTTTTTTTTTATGTTCAGATTAAATCTTTAAAATAAACTGCCATCAGATCAAAGTGTTTTACAATATTTGAAAACAAATTCATTTTGAATTTTGAGTTTTAATTTTAACTACTGTGCAAATTTACTACCCATTTGTTATTGTGAATTAAACTACTGCAAAACAGTTTTAAAACATTACAGGATTTTAACTTTCATTTAATTTAAAATGTAAAATTTTTATTTAAGTTCACAAATAATGTCACTGATTGGTGAAAAAACACACAAAATGATGTATTTTCAATTTAAAAAGTAATTGTGGACTGGATTTTTTTTTACCTTTTATTACTGTCTTTCAATGTCAATTGGCTTTGATGCATTGTCAGATTTTCATTTTTGATGCAATGTTAGATTTCCATTCTCCTCAATTTACTATTGGTTTGTGCCCCATTGACTTACACCATAATCACATTTATGGTGCATAAATACACAGTATTTGTTTTTATTTATTCCATGTAGGTCTGGGAGCTGAGATGCATATTTAGATTTTCTTAGATACATCAAGGTAAGTGCACGAATGTCACTCTCACACACTCACAGACACACATACACACACACACTTTAATTTGTTGTAATACTCTATATAAATCCAGAAACTAAGCTTTTGCACAGGTCTATCTAAAGGGCTAACAATGCAAACTGATGATCAACAGTAAAAGTTACAAATTTTACCTCTTTCCAACAGGGAAAACCACCAACAATCAAAAATGCACCATAATATGGTGTCATTGTTTTATAATAAAAAAAAGTTTTATAATGAAGGTCAATGGGGTAAAAAAGCCACAAAGAGTAAATTAGGAAGAAAAAAAATAAAATCAATCAAAAACAATGCATCAAAGGTCATGTTGATGACTTTGATCAAAGGTAAGAAAACAGTCCTCAATTACTTTTTATATTGAAAATAGATTTTTTTTTTACGAAATCACTGACATGATGGATGAATTTGGCAATTAAAGAGTTACAATTTTCTAAGCAATTTAGTAGTTTTGATCAGGACAAAGGTTGATTAACAGATTTAAGCAAAACATTTAGAAAAAAATATTTATCAGATGCATTTTTACAGCAGTTATTTGTAGTGGATGTTTTCATACCGAACATAACAAATGTGTAATAAATTTGCCAAGATTTTATCATAGAGCCTATTCTCAAAATATGTGTCAAAATAAGATTTGTCACCAAAAATCATTCTGATAGCTGAAACAAAGAAAGAGTTATGGCCAAATTATTACTCACAATTACCCCAGAGTGGATGAAAACATCCCCAACAGTATATAAGGGTTAAATATTGCAATTTGATAATGTGCTTTTTATTTAGTTTTTTATTCACATACTTATTATAGAAACATTACTATTTAACTTTTTTTCATTGACTTCATTGGTTATGTTTTAATCTAACATTTATATCTTATTTTATATAAGTATTATTTCAATTAATGAAAACATTATAATAGTTTGGTACAAAAGCTCTATTTGATCATTTTGAAATAAGAGTTGGCCAAGACTGTAAAATATCTGTTAAGACATGTTAACTAGTTAACCAATGCTAACAAGCTTTAACAGAAATCTTTGAATCATATCTGGGATCTTAATATTTAAAAATACATTGTATTGCTTGTATTGAGTTGGTCATAATTGGCATGTATTGCTCATAATTGAATGTTCTCAAATTTTATTTGAGCTTATTTCTGCAGAAAGTATTTATGAAGTTCTTTATATTTAATGATAAATAATTTTTTATAAATTATGTTTTTTTTGTTGTGTAATAGTTGCAAGTCTTGCATTAACGTAAAGCATTAATTTAGTAAAAATGACTGCCTTCCTATACAGTATATTATCTCCCACATACAGAAGCATATTTCATCAGATTACACTCATCAGGCAACTAACAAACCGGCTCTACATTGCAGTTATGCACACTATTTAAGTAAAATGTCTCACCATTGAGTGATCTGAGACTTTCTGTAGGTGATGTCTGTTTCAGGGTCTGCTCCGCCTGCTCTCGTCGCTTCGACTCATATTCCAGCGCCTCCTGCAATTTCCTCTTGGCTTTCTTCTCTTTCTTCAACCTTTTCTGAATGATCGCTGTGCGCAAAGAATACAGAAAAAGCAGCAGTCAAGGACCCCAGTCATATGCGGCGGCACATCTAATATTGAGGACCAAAGGAAGGAGAGCTAATTTTCAAACTCCCTCGGCGAGGGGAAAATTCATAGAAAAGTTGCAGCTGAAAAAAGAAAAACTGTTCTTGTTCAATGAGAAATTGACTGTGTCATTAGTGAAATAATTGAGCCAGCGATAACCTGGATTAACCTAGGTTAAAATGCCAATGAGACGGGGTTAAGGGAAACTTTCTGTAAAAAAGGAACGGAAAGAGGCGAGCTGAATATTAAACAGAAGAATGCTGGAGGGCTGTGGGCACATTTATAAGGATCCTTCTGTGAAACTGGCTTAATAAGCTCAATTTGATTCATTATGTAGGATAAATACATAGAACATGAGACTATTAAGCTGCATTTATAGCATTGCTTTTGTGCAGAAAAAAAAATCTAAATCTTTTATTGATGTCAAAATGTAGTTTATAATTATATGTTATACAGTAAGAGAGTATTGTAACTAGAGGCCATCTGTAATGCACATATCACTTTTAATCTCAAAGAGAGTTGAAAATTATTAGCTAAACTATTATCAATCTGCAGTCCAATCATGACTTTCCCTGGAGAAATATTGTGGCTCATTTAGAAACATTTACCACATAGATGACTTATTCATGTTTCCGCGAGTTTAACCACACTCACTTGAATAAAGGCTTTGTATATGCTTCTAATGCACTCATTGTCTATGTATGTAGTTACGGTAATATACTGTATTCCCACAAGCACTTCTGCGCGCATAATCAATATGTGCTCATGTATCGATCGTAATGTGAATATGCCTCATTCTGCTCGATTTATGACCTTGTCTCTATCACTTTGGCTGTACGCTTTTTTGTGTGCTTGTAATTAACAACTGAGCTTGTAGCACGGCTTTTCGGGTCATTTTATTGCACTTTTACACTAATTGCTCTATGCATTAAAATGATGAATTAAAGTTCACTTGTTATAGAGATTCCTGCATTTTCAGAAATAAAAACATGGTGTTTGCTCTTTGTGAAACTCATCATTAAGATTGTCGTGGGTGGTTGTTTATAGTATCAAAAGTAAAAACATAACAGGAATAAAATTAATGAAGTGTGTCACATGATACTTCAGGAATCGCCTAATAGCCAAATTGGTGCTCAATTTGAATTTTTATTGTTAACACAGTAGAAGATATATCTAATACATTTTGTTTTTCAGCATTTTAACAAATCATTTCGAGAGTTCACACTTAGCTGATGATTTATCATTAGCTTGTTTGGCATGCTGTCCCAGAAGAGAGACCTGAGCTTAAGGGGTCCTTGAGCCCAGAATGAGCACAGGTAGATCTCAGAAACTTCCTAGCTGAAGTGGTCAAGGTAAACTACTTTGAGAAGACAAAGTGTCCATTTGCTTAGTCTGTTACGTATGATGCATATCTTTGGACAGTTGGAGGAAATTAAAGAACCTGGGGGAAACCCTTGCGGACATGGGGAGAACATACAAAGTCCGCAGAGAAACACCCACTGGCCCGGCGAGGACCAGAGCCGACGGTGTTCTTGCTGTGGGACCATTGGGCCACCCAATCTATAAGTAAAAAGGAGGAGAAGAAGAGGAAGGATGGGTTTCTTCCAGACGAAGATAACATGTGGAATGAAGACTGTGGTATTTATTAGTAACTTAGGAATCATATGATTGGAGGATCATGATTAGCTAATGTGGGGCTGGATTACAGCTGAAGGTCTTTGCTTAATTTCTATCATTGTAGATGGGTTCAGGCTAGGCTCGGGCTTGCGCGATAAATGAACAGTCATGTGATGCATTTCGATTAGCGCGAGAAAGTAATCAAATTGTTTGTTGCAACATTAAAACCCATGCCTGAAAAGGTGAAACAAACGATGACGGAGAAGTCAAAAAGAGCTCATTTTGCTGAGTGGGAAAATGTACAGTAAGCTGACAAGGAAAATGATGAGGTCACTCGCTACATTGAAACTGCTGTCATGGAAAATGAAATGGTTGTTCTTGACTAGTGGAAGATGAACAAACAATTCTACCCAAAACAGCAGAGCCTTTATCTTAATTTTGTTATTGCCAAATACCCATCATAATTTAGAATTTATTTTAATTTGTTAGGAAAGACTTATTTTTATTGGTGTGTAGGCCAGTTTTTTAAGGCTAAGTGTATGTACCTACAGTAATTTAGAGTGCAGAGATTTTACAATGTTACAGAGGACTTATTTTATTTCTTTGTTCCCACGTCTAAGTAGCTTATCAATTTGTTATGAATAAATGATGTTAAAACACATATAAACGACTCAATTTTGAAAAAAGGCAACTAAGCTGTGTGCATGTGCACATTTGAATAATCATTTTTAAAAAGCTGTCAATCAAAATGTACTTTTCAGGTTTAGGCTAAATTCTGTCGGGCCTAATTTTTACGACCCAATTACAGCTCTAAACTGGATGTGGTAAATCATAAGCATGTGATGCTCTTAAAATTAGTTTATAAATAAACTGCACTTATTTGAAATATATATATATATTTGCTTGTTATATAAATATATATATATATATTTGCTTGTTTATAATATTAATCTCTTCAAATGTCTTCACAGCAATCCTTGCTGAATAAAACTATTTAACTTTTCTCTGATACCAAATTTTTGTACATAAAAGATAACTTTTACAATAACTTTTACTAGTCAGAAATTAACATGTATAATCAATCTAAAAAAAGAACAAAATTCAAAATAAGAGCACAAAAAGAGAACATTTTAAAAAAGTTCTGTTAAATTTCAGCTTTTATTAGTTATTGCTTTAATAACCACCTAGTAATGCAATTTTGCTTGCCTAGGTAAAACAGAAATATCATAAAAACTCCCCAAAGCAGGTAAGCAGCACTTACATTTAGGTAAAAATATGTCAAATATTATTTTATTGCATAACATACTGTTGTTTTAATATCATATGTAACACATTCTCAACACAATTAGTCAGACTGAGAATGTGCATTAATGAGCTGATTAAAATGAAGCACTTGAAATAAATAGATGTATATTTTTTAATGTGACTAGAAAAAAAATAGGCACTAATAAATATGATTCACAAGTGCAAATATAGCTCCTTAATGAAAAAGTTAATTTCTGAAATTGGGCCTTATCATCACTTTTTTAGAACTGAGAATTCAAGGTAATAAGAGATAAAATAAATTGTGCGTACGGCATGTGGTGTTAATGTGTGTGTGTGTGTGTGTGTGTGTGTGTGTACGCATTAAAGTAACACACACCTCTGTTCTTCTGCTCGACAGCCAGTTGTTTCTCCAGGGTTTCTCTGAGCTCTCTCTCTCTAAACAGCTCCATCTTCAGCTCCGTTTTCTCCAGCTGTACTTGTTTCTCCTGAGCACGAGCGTTATCAATCGCCACCTTCAGTAAACCCTGCAGGAGACAAACACACCTTACACACCTCCTCAGGAGTCAAGAAACTGTTTGAAAGGTTCACTATACGCTAGAGTGGTGCCACTTAAACATTCAAACATTAAAAAGTATATTGAAGAAACTGTCTTTGTCCATACGATGAAAGCCAGTGATGGACAGACAAACTTTTTTTTGTTAATTAATAAAAAAATTACAATAATAAATGAATACATTTAAATTTAAATCAATTAAAATAATCAAAGAAAAAAAATACATTTTTAATTCTAAAATTTTCAATAAATCCAAAACACCAATAAATTAACATTTGATATTTAATTTAGAAGCAACCCAGCAGACACACTATGTCAAAAGATATTAATATTAGGTTAGGTTTAGGTCCCCAGTGTCTAAGAACAACGTTATTTTGACGTCCAATAACAACCTGAAATGACGTTGATGTTTGGTTGATTTTAGGTTGCGTTGGAAAAAGTGAAGAAAATACAACGATGAGCCAACATCTTAAACTGATGTCATATTGACGTCAAATACTGACATTTATTCGTCAGGTATGGCAACCAAAATCCAACATCTGATAGACGTCATAGTGGTAACATCCACACAACGTTACGCTGTAACATCATTAGACGTTGATATTTAGTTGTTTTTAGGTTGCTTTGGGAAGTAACCAAAATGGATTGTCTGTCCGAAGTTGGGTTTTGGTTTTTATTTTTAAACAAAATGCAATGTCCCAAGATGTTGGGGTACAATGTCAATCTGACATTATGTTGGTGTCATGCACCTGCTGGGAGGGTTTTGAGGCAGTTTTCAGATGCTTAGATCTGTTGTGTGGTACATTATTGCAGATTTTAGACAGTCACAGAAAAACAGCATAATAAACAATGTTTTCAGCATTTGTGCTAAAAAATATTTAACATGAAAATGTGCAGTGACTTTGGTCAAAACACGCCCAAACTATCTCCAAATAAGATCTTCCGTTAAACTTACAGACCTATATATATATATATATATATATATATATATATATATATATATATATATATATATATATATATCATGTCACATATACATATATATGTATGTAAAATATCACTTTGGTAGCCATTGTTTGTTTAAAGTCTTATAGAAGTCAACTTCTAGTTTCTCCTTTTCTATGACATCATGCATGTCATCACAGATGGCAAGCCATAATTGTTTGGGAAGCAATGTGTAGTCTAACAAATATTCTTGTTCATGACACAAGACTTTACAGGAGGATTCAAAACTGCATAATCAGAAACAGTGATTATCATAACATAAAAATACTAGATAGTCCAAACCTACAGTATCATGTCTTGACAGCAAAATGTCATAAAATGTCATGGATCGAATATAGGACTTTTAAACTTCAGTAGCAAGTTCTATAAGAAAGATCAAACAGCTGCTTGTCTCAAAACAACACTTAAAGAGGCATTTTCTACACAAACGGTGCGGTGACCATTTCAAAACAATTATTCCCTGTACGCATGCAATTAAGCCAAATGCAATGGGCTATATCATACTAATTGTTCCTTCGTATGACCCCAATTTAGACTAAGTTGCTTTATCTCAATTTTCTGCTTGGGTTCGTTTTGTTGATTTGTGTGTGAATGTTCAATCAAAACATTACCCTGAAATCATGATTAAAGATGACTGACTGAACTGAGTCCTGCTAATTAACAATGGGGCCGAAAGCGGCACGATAGATCTGATGGCCATATCACAAGAGCAATGAGCAAACCTCTCACTCCCCATACTGTACCCACATCATTAGTCTCAGAGGCGGTGTTAATCAACTACATTCATCTTTCTGACTGGGTTTTACTTGCATGACAACCAACAGTGGTGATCAAGGGAGTCGTGCTGAATTTATGCGGCTATGCATTTGTTTTGATGTACCCAGAAAAAAGTATTATATTAAAATTTTTTTTGACATCTCCATGAATCAAGGGTATGAAGTTAAAGAGTTGATTCTTATTATAACAAAACTGAAAATTGAAATTTATTAGGTATGGCTTTGAGTAATATTTATTTACTCTATATGAGGAGTAAAGAAATGCGTATTGATTTTTGCCGCAACTCTATTTCTAATGCTTCCACTACTACTATAAACAGTACGGCTATTGAGATAGTGAGTAAGTAATAATACCTAGGCACCATTTTGGATGAGGAAACTGAACTTTAAGGCCAACATTAATTTTATCTTTGAAAAAGGCAAATCAAAGACTGTTCTACTTGAGAAAGTAGGAATTTATTGTGGAAGGAATTTAGAAGGAATTTATTGGAAATAAATTTATTGTGGATAGACCTTTTCTTGGGACATTTTATTCTTCTTTTAAGTCTTTTTTAACTTTTGCATATTTTAAATATGCTGCTATGGTAAAAACAGACTTTCAAAAGTTGTTCATCAATCTCAAAAGATCTTGGGCATAAATCTTAATAGTATTGGACAAGTGTATGAGGTGAGAGTCCTAAAGAAGGCTATGTCCATTTTAGCAGACGAGAACCACCCACTTTATTTAAAGTTTTGCCTTCTGCCATCAGGCAGAAGGTATACTTATTCTAGATGAGTAAGATCCAACAGATATTTGTATTCATTTGTTCCAACTGCAGTTCGGTCATTAAACAAGCCTTAAGTTATTTTTTCTCTTTCCATGACTAATTTTATTGTTTACTGTTATTTTTTACTGTTAATTTTATGTTGTTGAGTGTGACTTGTTGCTGTCAACTGTCGGCTATTGCTGTAAACCTAATTGCCAATAACAATTGACAATAAAGACATTCTAATCTATATCTATCTATCTATCTATCTATCTATCTATCTATCTATCTATCTATCTATCTATCTATCTATCTATCTATCTATCTATCTATCTATCTATCTATCTATCTATCTATCTATCTATCTATCTATCTATCTATCTATCTATCCATCCATCCATCCATCCATCCATCCATCCATCCATCCATCCATCCATCCATCCATCCATCCATCCATCCATCCATCCATCCATCCATATATATATATATGTTTTTTTTTTCAGGATCCTGTGTGTAGGTTAAATAATTTCACTTTTATTTTAAAGAATGTTTGCATTCCATTTAATGTAAAATCATTAAACAAAAAGATAAAGAAAGCTGAGAAAAATGCTCACTTTAGAAGAAAATTTTCAGAAGGCCCTTTTCAAATTATTTTAATCTAATATGTTTTTGGTAATTTTTATTTTACTCTATTAAGGACTGAAAACATTTCATCCAGATTTCAAATAAAATATGATCATTCAAAGCATTTTAAAGAAATATCTTTCTTATTTTTATCACTGTTCATTAAGAAATAAAAACTACCAGTAATTACGTTACCAGTAATACTGACTTGTATATGATTGTTTGTGTTTTTTCTCTTTTGCGAGCTAAAGTGTGTGCTAAATGATTATCCGTGAAGAGCATAAATATTTCTTACTGCATGAATGTTTGACTTCATCTCAAGCGTGATGATACTATCACTGCACATCGCCATCCGTTCACTATATTTTCCAAGCGGCGGCTTAAGATTGCCATAAATTGTGATAAACAACTCTTTGTGCCATCTCCTTCCATTATGTGTAATCTTGAGCATCACTGCTGTTTACTGTGTTATGACACAAGACATGATAACATCATGACATCTGTCATCTGGCCAGTCCACAGTGAGCTAAAATAAAACATTACTATAGCAACCAACGTCTGCCACAGATCAAAAGGAAAGCGTGCTGCCACTGATAGTGATGTTTTATTGGAATTAATATACTCACTCATGGTTTATTTTAGACTTTGAGTTTGGTTTATTTGAATGTTCATTTAGCAGTTTGTTTAATTTTGATAAATATATCAGAACTAAAGCTGGACGATATTGAAAAAATCTAATACTGAGATATTTTGTTTTGCTGCGATTTATATTGCGATAATTTCACCAGATGATTTGAATAGCTCTATTTGACAAGATTTTATTAATTTACATCGACCGGGATAATAAAGTATTTTTTATGCAGCGCATCAGCATAAGATATAATAAATTACAAGCATATATAAAAACGACAGATCAAACATTTTAAATAAGAAGTTAAATAAACGGGAGTCTAGCAGCATTCAAGTATAGATATTGTACAGTCAAACATAAAATAACATTTTTAACAATAATATTTCACAATATTTCATCTCTGGGCAACACAGTGGTTCAGTGTTTAGCACTGTCACTTTACAGCAAAAAGGATCGCTGGTTCAAGTGTCGGTTGGTCCAGTTGCCATTTTTGTGTGGAGTTTGCATGTTTTTCCCGTGTTTGTGTGGGTTAGCTCTGGGTGCTCCGGCTTCGCCCACAGTCCATAAACATGAACTAGGTGAATTGGATAAACTAAATAGGCCATAGTGTATGTGTGTGGGCGAATGTCAGAATGTATGGGTGTTTTCCATTACTGGGTTGACGGTTCATCATGGCAACCGCTGATCAATAAAGGGACTAATCCGAAGGAAAATGAATGAATGAATGAATCTTCATCTTCTAATCTTTGATAAATAATGTAACCCTGCAATGGGACTAGTGTGCATACACATACAGTATGGCAATAATGATGCTTAAATGACATATTGTTCAGCCGATATTAGAACAGTTGAAAAACTTTAACTAGTAGTAGAATGGTATCATCTGGTCTTGGTCTCCCTACAGTACATTCTCATTCAAAATATAGACTCTAAAATAACAAGGTTCCAATTTGACTGTAATGCCATAAATCAACAACTTGCTGTTCTCCAAAGAAAAAGAGCAGTTCTTAATAGAGCCGTTTATCTTAGAGTAAAGAACATTTTTATTAGTATTATGAACCCTTTCAGCTATAAAATAATCTTTTGTGGAATGCAAAAGTCTTATGATCCATCAATGCCAAAAAAGATTCTTTATTTGCAAGAGTGTATAATCAGCATACCATTTTTAATCAGTTGTTTTTAAGAACTGGCATCAAGAGCATCAATTTGTTTTGTTTTATTTTAATAAAATAATGTACTGTAAAATATAAATGCCAGTGTGTATAAATATATATATACACTGCTGGTCAAAAATTTGGAAACAGTTTTATTTCTTTCATGTTTTTTTTGTTTAAGAAAAGGATTCTGGCCATGAAGGTGGCATTTATTAAGTGTAAAAAAAAAAAAAAAAAAGTTAAATTGTTAAATATTCATGAAAATTTTTAATAACTGCCTTCTTACTGTATGCAGTTTCAAATGAAAATATTACTCAAGGCATTATTGCTTTTATTACAATTACCATTAATAATGATGATGATAATAATAATAATAATAATAATAATAATAATAATAATAATAATAATAATAATAATAATAGAGTGATTTCTGAAGGATCATGTGACTGAAGACTGGAGTGATGAAGCTGAAAATTCATCTTTAAAATTACTGGAACAAATTATTAAATTAAATGATAAACTACTTTTGAACAGTTATTTTATAGTGCAATAACATTTCGCAATTTTACCATTTGTACTGTAGTTTATAAATAAATGCAACCTTGGTGAGTAGAATAAGCTTATTTTAAAACATTTAAAAGTCCTACTGATCCCAAACCAGTTTTTTTATGTTGTGTTTTAAGGGAGTTGCATGGCAATTAATTACATTTATTCTTGTTTTAATGTATTATTAGTTTTAATCCATTTATAAACCATTAACCAATTTTCATGCAGTAAAAAAATTTTTTGAGCACAAACCAGAAATTCGAACTGTCCAGTATAGACTGCCTTGAAGCACAGACTCTGACCATTTTGTCAGTCACTGTGGTCAAATACTTCCACTAGAAATCTGATTCAATTTCAGAAAGTCACGAAACAAATACTTTTTAAATGTATCTATTTGGCGTTCTGTGTTCACATAGCAATACTCAAATGATTATTTATTAATTTTAAAATATATATGGGTGATTGGGTTTGGCATCAGAGATGTTGAAAACCACAGCTCTAAAACAAATGTCCACTTGCCATTCAGCATTTTATGCTTTGTCACTGGTCTGAATATTGCCAGTTCAATATTTAGTAAATCATATGAATTAACAAGGAAATGAAATGGCTCAAGAAAGACTATACATGATGTACCATTTTCCACTATAGACCTTCAGACAGCAAAGTCTCTCACCTGGATGTTAGTCAGCAGGGTTTCTATAGACGACAGGCCATCAGGGAAGAGGAAGGGTGAGGGGAATCCTGGAGGTAAAGTCTGCCCCGCCAGCGACAGTCTCTCATAGCTGTCTCTGGCTGTCGGCGTGCACATGGGAATTTCTTCTGGTGGCAAACAGACAGAAACATACACATTCAGCACAACAGACGACACACTCCATGTAGTGCTGCGCTGTAAAATAAATCATTATTTTCCTGAATTGGTGTTTATACACCCAGATTGTTTGTGAGATGTAAAATTAACATCTATACAAGCATGCCCAATCAAGCACATATGATTGATAGCCCATTCTGTCACTGTCACACGGCACTCTATTATTGATGCTTCTGTATTTATAGCCACTATAAATGCTTGGGAGATTTTACATAAAGATAGAACGAGAAGCCCCTCTAGAAAAAAAGGGTCATTTGCATTTTTGGAAAGCATATATTCTCGGTAGCATGGAGGGCACAGATATGCTGGGAGAAAAAAGCCCACCCGTTCCATATGGCGCTAAAACTCTGTGATAGGAAAAGACGGCACTCAAGCAGATGCATATGGCAAGCTGAGATTATCAAGGGCTCTGGCTTCTCAACAAAGGCCATATGGCACAAGGTGGTGAACCCTCATTGACCATGTTTCAACACTACTGCCGCCCCCTCAGCAGACTGGCAATGCCATTTTGGGCAAATGAATTAAAACCCTCGGAGGAATCGGTGCATAAAAAATCAATATGATTGGATTAGATTCAAAAAGGAGCGCAGCAGAAGAAAACAGAGGAGTAAAATAAATATCATTTATTTCCTCTCAGTCGATGGTTGACACATAAATGTGCAGGTGTAAAATGTCACAGGTGGGGCGGCTGTTAAAACCCTCTGGAAATAAAAGAAAAAGGATTTTATGTCTGCCAGACAAATAAAAACAGGGGCTGGCACATTAAAGAGTATATATTTTATCGCCTAGTCCGTTGGGACTTCTTGCTGAATGTCATAAGGAGAGAAAACGCTGGGAAGAGCACTGTAAAGTCTGCAGCATGTCTTCACAAAACAGCTTTCCAAGATTAATCACCATGTCTACTTGTTAAACATCGTGCGTATGGTAAATGAAAGCAATTTAAAGTACCCTATGTTAAAAAAATAATGAAAAAATGAAAAGCTATTTATAGTGTTGTAAACAGTTATGTTGCAATCAATATGCATTACATTTACATTTATACATGTGGCAGACATTTTAATCAAAATCAATTTACAATGCATGCAATATATTTTAACAGTATGTGTTTCCTGGAACTGAAAACCATGACCTCTCAGTTGCTCTAGACCTGTTTGACCCTCAGCTATGGGAAAACTGCAATAAAAATTGTTTCTGCTGTTATCATACAATTTCAGCAATGTATACGTAACATAACATTAATTGCATGTAAAATGTCTACTGTAATGTTTCAAATAACTAAAAAAAATTGAAGAAATGTTCCATTGCTGTTCAGTGTAAAATATATAATTATTTCAAATTGAATGCATTGAAGTATATATTTTACTATATGTTTAATGACTTAAACATTTTTGCTGACAGATGGGTAAAACCTATACTGCAGTTTGAAAGGCAGTGAACAAATATGAAAAATGATAGTAGTCTTTAATTCATCAAGATGTATGGTGGATAAATTAATGATACAATGAATTACATTTTAATGAATATCTTCTGTAAATCATTGTAAGACTGCATAATAGTCATTATAAAAAAGGAATAATAATAAAAGCTGTTTTACACTTCTAGAGCCCTATCATACACCCGGAGCAATAAGGTGCAATTATGCATTTTTCAGTTTATTTATGACAGTTAGGATTTTTATTATAATGTTGTTACTATTTTCAGCAGTATTATTTATTATATCCATATTTATATTTGTTTTATTAAAATTTTTTTAGATTTATCCATCTGTCAGGTTTTGGAGATGCATGCATCCCCATATAGGGCATAAGAATAGAACGTGTGTTTGAATGTATGCAACCCCACACTTCGTTATTATTGTTCATTTATCTGTTTGTTGGATATTAGAACTTAATTTAGTAATAGGTTTAAAACAGATATTTGCACTTAACAAACAAATTAAATATGTAGGCAAATGGATGTCTTCACTGGAGTGCAAACAACACCGTTTCCTTATTCATGAAAGTCAAGGAGTAAACAGTAAAAAGTAAAAAGAAAGTAAAGAGGCCAAATGGAGGAGGCTTGTTCTTTATCTTTGCGCTGCAGATGGTCTGTTTAGCTTTTTTCTCGCTAGTGAAGCATTCAGTTTTTCCACTTACAAAGTTCGCCATGTAAATAGCAAATGCCTCATTGCTTTAATGCACGTTTTGCTCAAAACATACCCATAACTCAATAAAAGAATAAGCACAACCCTGTTAGACCATGCGTCACAGTGCAAATTGAATTTTTCCATCCTTAAAATAGCAAAGTGGATCTGGACATGCCCTTAATACTTTTGCGCCATGCGCTTTAGACTTTGCCCCTAGATCTCTAAACTAAAGCCCCTAATGTTTTAATGCTCCAAATAAAAACATCACTGTACGCACATCAAGAAAATTCTTGAAGGTGAGTACTCAATCAAGCCAAACTCAATAGAAAAACTCTTTTTTTTCTGCCACTTTAGCTCTCAAAAGACAAATTTAATTGGACAACATCTCAACCTACATGGTCTTCACCAGGTTAAATGCTCAATGCTCCAAACACCTTTTGTTCTTGATTCATGCATGAAATTAGTATAGCGATTAAACCTATGTTTGTTTCAGTTACCATTTAAACTTACATACAACCACTAGGTAGCACTCATTACATAAAACAAAAAAAGTTTTCTATTCCTCTGAGCATGGGAGCAGCATCTGAAAGTGAATAACATGAGCTTGGATACTGAACAGACACTGGGTCCTCTGGGGCCCAAATGTAAAGCAGATTCCTGTTCACTTCCTCCGATCAGCCACCAGTGCCTGTCAGTGCCCTGATGACATCATCTGCCATTCATCAGCTCTGTCAGGGCAGACCTGTGCCATCTGCTGCATGGACCATCATAACTCACACACACACACACACATACACACACACTGGCCATCAAAACTCCACATCTATCTTAACAGTCACTGCCTTATACAAGCTATCACAGAGCTACATCCATCACTACAAACACACATGTGTACAGGCCTCCATCTACACATACACAGACAAATATGTACAAACAGACTAGGATAAGTCACTTTAAAGCACACAGGCCTGAGCTGACACTATCTTCACACTGTCATAGCCTGCTGCCAATCACAGCTAAAGTATACATTCTCTCTGATAGACAACAGGCCATGTCCACAAAAATCCACAAATACCACAACATGAGACAGATTCAGACCATCTAAAGGCAGGAAACAATGGATGATACATAAGTCTATAATATAAATGTAATGCATTATGAAAGAACAAAATAAGCTTTTTTGATACATACTGTTGTACATCATATTTATTTGGGAAGCATTACAGATTGTTACCATATTTATTTCCATCACTATTAAATACAGATATATTTTTATGTCAAGGTAATATTTATTTGTGGACAAGTGGACACGTTGAAGCTTAGTTGTAAATGTTTTAAGCTTAAATGTTATTTCTAGGGTAGATGAAACTTATTCAGTTGTATTGCCTTCTGATGAGCCACAAAAAAAAAGTACTAGCAGAAATGTTTATCACGCTAGCCAGACAGGATTTCAATTTGCTGTCCAAAATTGTACATTTAAATAGAAAGTTTAAAAAAGCAACTGTCTTTTAAATGATTTTAAGACAAAACTAAAGCATTAAGTGAAGTTTTTTGGCTGTGAGAGCACAAACAAAAGGTGTCGCTTTGCATAAAATTCTCTGTTTTCTCCTTTTTTAATTTAACACAGTAAGGGTACGAATAAATATATTATTATTACTACCCCCTCTACTGCATGCATTATGATAAATCTTTTTTATAATGGCTTAACTTGAAGTGCTGTAAAAAGTGTTTTTAGAAAAAACAATTTTTGGAAATTTTTCATTTTTGGTACTTCATGATATGTTGCCATATGGCAACAACATCCAATAGTGGACAATAATGATAATAATCATGTAACTAGCTAACAATGTTTATATGTTATACTATATACTATGCTACGCCTGTCTTATATGCCACTAAGCTAACTTAACTGGACTTTCTGTATCACTGCTTTTATCAAATGTCCAATCTACATCAGTCACTAAAACCATCTCATCCTCACTTTCATCTGCAGGATGAGCCAGTTCTGTCCATTTCTTCTTTCACCTACCATAGAACATGGTGGGGCTTACTAATACACTGTTCTCTGTATTTATATCTAATAAAAAGTAGTATTGCCATTAAAATTTGATTTTATCCATAACTCAAATGCCTAATCAACATTACTACAAGCATCCATATTGTTATTGTTACAACTTAAAAGATCACAGCAGACCTTGCTTGCTAGCTAAGCTATTGCAATATTGCACATTTTACTATTGCACAGTGTAGCCATTTGGCAACGCATACATTTGATCGAATCGATTTACAAAAAAACGAATTTGATAAAAACTTCGAGTTGTGAAAATGTAATCATAACTTACTGGAGGTGATGTTTCAGATTTTTTTGTCAATCTGACATAATTTGATCCTTTATTTTTATTGACATTTACATTTGCATTCAGTAATTACTGACATTAAATGCAAGTCTGTCAGAAATCACGCCACAGAAAAACATGTCATGTGACTTAACCAAAGCACATCATTGGCTAAACTAAAGTCTTCTCTTTCCAACCAAAAAAATAGAATGTTGGTCTCAAAGAAACAGTGGCAGGGAATTTAACATAAATATCTTGTTGCCCTATGGCATCACTATGCGGTATAAATATACTTTTATAGAAAATGTTATTAAAAATTTGATAATCATTTTATAAAAAATATGGTCCCACTTTATATTAAGTGTCCTTAACTACTATGTAATTGCATAAAAAAATAAATACAATGTACTTACTGTGTTCATAATGTATTTGAGAACACTTGTGGTGCACTTGAGTTGGTATAGGGGTTGGGTTATGGACAGGTTTGCTG